AAGCCTGGGAACAATTTAATCATAAAACATATGTCCGTGTATAAATCCTTATATTATATATCTGCCCGTGTAGTGAACAAAGCGACTTTTTAAGCGCACTTAATAGAAATTAGCCCGCGGCATCATCTCACATTTAATATTTAGCGCACGTTTTGCTAATTAACGCCGCAATGACTGTGGGCATTCTTGGGTTAAATGTGCGCCATATGACCACTTGGACATTGGTATTTCCAATCATAGAAATCTCGCCGAATCTTGTCATTTTTTATTCTATATAATGTATACATATGTATATATCATTAATCTTGTTTTTGCAGTCTAATCACTGCTGTGCAGAATTTTAACAAAAGTAATTAAATGCCAGTAAATTGATTTATTATCAGTGTTGGTTTAGACTTCTCACCTCAACCTTGGGATTTTGACCAGCGCAGATGGCTTTCTTTATGGCTTTTTTATTTTCGGCGAATCTCATGTCACCCTTTGAGACAAGATCTTTGAGCAAAGCCCTTAGATAATGATGATATATGATGAGGCGCCTCATCGTAAAGTATCTTGTGGGCTCTATTCTTACCATTTTTTATTATCCAAGATAGTTGGAAATCTTTCTTAAACTAGGCCATAAAGAAATGATGTTTTATTTGCTATTATAAAAATGTTTGTGTATTTTCAGTTTGTAACTTGTTTGAGAACAGCTAAACATAAATTGTTTTTGCTTAAAGCTAGATCATATCATAGATTTATATTTTTATAAATGTACCCATTATTTCCTTGAAATTTAATAGGTAAAATAATTGGCTTTTTGAAATCCAAAGTTATCTATTTGAGTAATTTAAATTGTCTTTACTCTCGATCTAACATTAAAAAGCTGAACTAGTTTTAAATTATGTTTTGTTTTTAATATTTTTTTTTATTTTGATGACCTGCTCGTTAAACCACTTTAAAAACCCGAACTAGTTTTAAATGTTTGGAAATTTACTTAAATGAGTTCACATCTTGTCTTGTTTGGCATAAAATCATCGTTGAAATGAGTTCAGATCCTAAAAGCCAAAAAAACTTAAAATCGAAAAAAAGTAATTGCAAATTTAATTATTTTGATATTTTAGAAATTTCTTAATAATAAAAAAAATAATGTTCCGCTCAATACAAAAAGGTTAAATGTCATACTCTTGAATTGTGTACAATTTAAAAACATACATTTTGGTTGACTTCTGTTTGTTTTACATATATAAATATATATATACTCATTATTAATTTGAATCTGGAACTAGTTCAGTTCAGTCATTGCACATATGCAACTGGTTCCGAATAAAACCTGATTTTGGCATTTCGTAAATTTCCATACCCAACTGAAATTTCGCAGACAAATCGTCTGCCAACTGAAAACCGAAAGGTAAAAACTACAACAAAAGCCGAAAAAGAGTTAAATAAAACTGTTGTGGCATTTAAGCGCGTGAATCGTAAAACCATATAACCATTGAAAATCAATTGGTTACTGCTGCCCCCTTCGCAGCGATAAGAAAATGGTCAAAAACCAAGACTGAACGGCGGCAAAATCTATTGAATATTGTCGTCGGCGACGGCGGCGGCGGCTGATCCACTAATCAAGGTGCATTTATATGCCCAGCCGATCCAATCGGCTATATAATTGCGATTCCCAGTTCCGCATGCAAACAAAGGAGAAAAGAAACGGAATTCAATTTAGTCCCCCCCCCCCAAATGGACTGCCACGCCCAACCGCCCATCCGCCCACGTGTTTTGTTTGGCTTTGAACTTGAAAATTGCCAAGCGAATATAAAACGACGCCTGACAAACGCTGCGTATACGTAATGCGAATATTTGCTCTTTCTCTTCTTTTCCTTTATGAATTTTTGTTTTACTTTTTCTTGGGTACTCAGTACTAAATATAATACATCTTAGTGTAAAACACCATTTTACATAGAATTGGCTTAATTTTTGGCTTATCCTCATGAATTACTTGTACTTCTAAAACTAACTATGACAAAAATATATTTTTAAAATATAAACTAGTCACAGTAATTGTTTCGTGCTTGTGAAATACTCATAATCGTTAACTCAGTTATTTTGCATAATAAATGTTTTACCATAAATAAGCAATTAGTGGAGCTAATTAATGTTCTACCTATTTCTTGGCACGCTGCGTATACGTAACGTGGATTTTACTTACATTTCTCTGAACGTTTGTTGGGCTTTTCGTTATATGTTCTTGTTGAGTTTAAAGTTTATATGGATGTTTGGATTTGTTATGATAAAGCTTATCGGACTTTAACCAAGGGTAGTGTTTAACAACCTGCTGTTTGTGGGTTAACGATGTTTTAGAAATGAGTTAACTCTTGGTTGGGCTAAAAAAAACAAAGGAAATTTATAAACATTTTACATTTTCTAAATCCGAGAATAAACCGAAGTGAATCAGAAGGTGTTCATAATCGTGTTAGCACTGGGAAAGAAAGCTTAACGCTTAACGCTTAACGCCTGACAAGAAGGTGGCAAATAAATTGACAATTCAAATATTGAATTTTCCATTGATATGAAATGTATGCATTTCCATTATCTGCAGCTGTCGTAGACAAGTGCTTCTACGTCGTTCAGGAAATCTTCCCTCGATGGTTGCTCTGTTTACGGCTTGATATAGAAGGTCTTAATCAACAGGGGCTTTCTCACTAATTTCCAGGTAATCAGCGGTTATCGAAATCGTCCAATAACCGATAAGATTGGATTGAAAAACTATTTTTATAAACATGTATACCTTTTTTTTTGCAATCGGAAATGGTTTAGTCATCAGCGATTTTAGTTATAGATGACAATTTATGGCTTTTGTTGTAAGCGAAAAGCACGAGTTTGTGATTTTTCATTTAATTTTAGCTAAGGTGCACTTAAATTTGCAGAGAATTTATAGGTGAATTAGAAGTTTGTAGGGAAAACCCAAGCGGTTTATCAATGATCGATTGGGAATACTCGACACGTTTAGTTTCAATGAATTTGTGGGTTTTCACATAATTTAAGCTTGGGTGCGCTTGAATTTCTGTAGAATATTGGGAAATTAAACATTTTGTAACCAGGGGGTTTTCAATAGTCGATCGGGGAAATGGAAATTCTGATTATTGTGAAACGGATAAAATTAATTTTCAATTTTTAGAATTTTACCTTTAAAAAGCTTTAGAATTTACCTTGAACCCAAAATACATAAATAATACGTCTTATAATTTCCTAATATTTCCATGGTAATGACATCGTTTCCCATTTTATGTCGCCAATTTATAACACCCCTCGACCTTCCCCTGTTGGTTTATGGCGAAATTCTCAAGTGCACCAAGATAAAGATTAATAACAATAGGCAGGTGTATATAGCTGCAGTTATATACTTATATTTTTTTGCTACGTAGTCGACGCGTGGGCCTGATCTGTGACGTGATATTGACTTGCGAGCGCAAGGCTTTCAATCCACTGCGATAAGAACCCAAAAAACAATAGCGAAAAAAACCCTTTTGGAAGTCTCAAGTGGATCATTCAATATAGAATCGCTATAGAATCAATCCTCCCTGTCATCGGTTTTTATATTATTTCCAGTTGTCAAAGCTAAGTGGCTGCAATTTATTGTGTCCAACTGTTGTCAACGCGTTGGCAAATAAGCGAAATTAAAATCTTATCGCCGACAGGTGTGTGAGAGGCACTGGAGTGTTGTGAAAAGTCTAAAAGGTCTAAAAGTCCATTAAAAATATAGACTAGAACATAAAAGACCTTCATCTCATTTCTGGTCAATTCAAACTTCCAAAAAAGCTGAGAAAAACCATGAGCAGATGATTAATCTGAATGTTCTATTCACTTCAAAATAACTTGTAAATATTTGGAATGGGTATATTCTTCAACTTTAATTAAGGTCCAAAATAAACTAGTTAACCTTGGGCTTCCCCTTTTCTCCCAATAATTTTAATCGGCCAAACATAGACATACAAAAACAGATGATAATACAAATCTTTAACAAACAGGTCCAAAAAACACAAACCAAAAATGTTGATTATCTTGGTCAGGGCCTTTGCCATGCGGAAGTTTCAAATAAATTGTTCGGGCAGGTCAGGCACATTTTCGGAGCAGAAAATCAGTAATGATTGATGAACTGAGAAAATTAATCGTCTAAAAACGGAACCAAATGTATATACCGGTTTAAAAAAAATCAAATTAATTCCAATGTAATTTACCATCTCAATTATTTCATATTCTAATACAATTTTGTTACAAACAGAATTGACTCGTCTTAGAAGAAGACATACATATTTAATTAGTATTTAATATTAACTAATATAATATTTTAAAAGGGCTCTTTCCTTCAGAAAAATATTTTATTAATAAATTTCGGTTTTTTTAAACGTACACTAAAAGTAATTGATTCTTCAAAGATTTCCTGGTTAAACTTTTATGAATTAAACAAAATTATTGACGCTTCTGTAGAGTTGTGACCCGATCTTTTGTTGCATTTCTTGATTTCCATTGATTCCACGTTCTAGCCAATCTATAGTATTTAATCAACCCGATTTTAATAAATGCGTTAAACAAGAAGTAAACCAAATACGTTGTTGTTGTTGCCTTGCAGCCATATCAACGGTCCGGTGACTAAGCTCAACCTCTCAGCCTCAACCTCAGTCCTTCTACCTACAACCTCTCACTTCCCCCAGTACAACCTGGCCCCCAGAAACTACGGACATTACGACGCACACACCCTGCGACAAACACACGGCGCCCCAACATTCCCCACATTTTCAATACGATGTAAACCAAACGATTCTCCAGATTCTTTCAATTATTGTTCCAATTTATATTCTTCATTCATTCCTTAAACTAAAAAAATCAAACGTAGGCCTACGTAATACTGAAAAGCAATCAATGCAGTTTCCATAATTCTTAACTTATTAAATTATTTATCTTAAAATAAAACCATTTTGTGATATATTTTTTGTGTTTAGTCATAGATTGAAAAAAAAAAGAAAAACCAAAACAAAAAGTATGCAAAGCCCATAGACAAGTAAATCATAAAAAAAAAACAAAAACAATATTTATTAGAGCACAGTTTATGATTTCTGTTGATAGTTTATCTTCTGTTGTTTTTAATTAAATATAGTTTAAAATCTTAGACACTCAGGATTTAGTTCAAATATAGTTTAGTCGATGAGTTTCAGTTGCGAATACTCGCTTGAGAAAAGGCCCCCGCACACGAACAGTCACACGCATGCACGCCAACCGTTTGGGGCTGCTCTACACCGACACTTAAAGAACCCCCGACACGACACGACGAACATACACACGCCAAACCAATGCTAAAATGTCGCTGCCCAACGAACAGACAAACTTGCCGCACAATCCCAGCCAACCAGCATCCACAGACACACCATCCACAACAGGAACATCAACAACACCTACGACACCAACACCTTCCACAAAAACTACACAAAATGAGCTGAAACACCGCCTGACGCCATTGAATGTGCGTCGTTTATCGGGATACGTTAATCCGCAAGCGATCAGCGATAATGCTGGCGATGATCCCCCGCCCACCACCATTAACATTGGCCTCTTCAACAACAATAACAACAATAATACAAATAATAACAACAACAACACAGCATCAACAACGCCACCATCTGCATATGCCACACCACCAATATACCAACAACAGTTGTCCACACTGACAGCAACAACACCGCTAGATGTGGCACCGGATGATAAATACAGATTGTTTACCATTTTCAATGGAAACGGTGAGTGAAAGTATAAACCCCCCGATGCGAAAAAAAAAGAAAAGTGTTCCACAACAGCATCAAGCAGAGGCAACAACTCTCGGCTCCCGTGTAGATAGGTCTTTTCGAGGAATTATGAGGTTTTGGCCACACTAAACACTAAAGAAACACCATATATCGTTGATTCTTTCCTTGATTTATTTTCGCTCTCTATCTCTCTCTCTGTCGCTGACTATCTTACTATCTTTTGTATTTACTCTTGATATGCCAATATTTATATTTAAGCGCCCAGACTCGTTTCCCTTTCCATTTTACAACATATTTACCTTCGTATCCATATATCCATATTCTTTATATTCCTTTTATATTACATTAATCCCGTGCAATAATCGCCCTGGCTTGTGTATGTCTCGACTATTTGCGGTTAAACACACAGAATGTTTACTAATTATCATGCATGCTCCGCCTCACTCCGGGCTTATCTCGATGCAAAGCTACTGCCCATTATTCGTCTCGTCTGAGAACAGATCTTTATCCACGACTAAATGGGGTATGTGGGGTTTTTCACAAGGAAAGGGCCCATTGCCTTGCTAACTTGTCTTAAACATGCTTATTCTTGGATGCTTCAATGCTTCAAGAACCCAAAAAGGTGATATGGTTTGGTACCACTATTCTATCATCAGAACTGTGAATAAAAAATTGTAGGTGACCAAAAACTATAGAAAGATATTATATGCGTTTGTTAACTTGTCTTAAACATGCTTGTTTATAGTTACCATTATGCTTCAAGTACCTAAAAAGGAGATTCCTCTTCGGAACATCAAAATATTATTAATGTTATGGTTTGGTACATCTATACCATCATCATACCTGTGAATAAAAAAATTGCAGGAGATCAATAACTACAGAAAGATATTGTATTCGTTTGAGCTCTTAGGAATTAAAACAGTTTATCGAGATCCAATAGCTAAATAGGTTTTAATGATAAAAGAGCTCTGCCTACCAAATTCGGTATACCTATGCTTATCTCATATGACCTTATAGAAGTTTGGAATGGAAAATAGTATTTTGCATTTAAGTAACAGTGTAATTATTAATTATTTAAACCGATAAAGTACAAAAATGTATTGATTTTCAGAGATTAAGAAAACGGTACCTATAAAATGTATTATGTAGATATCTTAGACTTTCACCAATATGTTATGCTTACAGTAAATAGCCTTAAACGTTTTCCTTGTACTGATACAGTATTTAAGGGTAGTCAATAGTCTTTACCCACTCGACTTGTATTATGGCATTCTTAATTGTTATTTTTGTGATGTTTAATTGTCGCTGTCTCGGCGGCTCGCGAATTTGTTTATGGACGAACGATTCGTGGTTTATGAACTTGGCTACGAGTCGACACAGAAACCGAAAACGCAAATAAATATACGAGAATTCTAATCAAACGAGTTTTTTTCTTGCTGCTTGAAGAATACTCCACCTGGAGATTGCCGAAAAAACTGAAATGAATAAAATAAAGAAAATCAGAGACACATATGCATATATATGTTGATGTTTAATTTATAGCGGTGTTAATTAATTGCCTTGCTAATTGCATAATGCTGCTAAATTTAGATGCATGCCCCACACGCACACCACAGCACTTAGGCTAATGCATGTAACAAATAGGTATAGTCGCAATAAACCCATGTATGAGAGAGAGACCCGAGCACCTAATCAGGCGACTAACTTGGAACACTTGATCTGTGCCTTGATCCCAAACTAACCCGCATCTTGCAACCCTGTTCTTTTGTTTCTTTCCCCCACAACAAAAAATCATCATCCGATCGAAAACCCAGATCCCGACAATGAGAAATTGTCGGGCCTACCACATTCGACAACCGGTTCACTAAGCTCAATCATCACGACGTCCATAGCATCCTCCGAACCGGATCCTGGAGCGGCGAGCGGCGGCGGCGGAGGAGGAGCAGGCGGCGGTGGCGGGAGTGGCAATGGCGGCATCGGATCCGGTGCCCTGGTGGCAGCAGATGCCTCCAGTATCGCCGGCATCAATGGCAGTTCCGAGGAGAAGTTGGCGCTCAACAGGCCCGGCATCAAACAGGAGAAGTGGACAACGATCCTGCTGCAGGTTTCCATTCCGTTCTTCCTCGCCGGCATTGGCACCATTGGAGCTGGCATCGTGCTGGGACGCGTTGAGGTGAGTCCGTTTCAAATAGAAATCATTATCTTTATAGCATCACATAAATATATTGGGTAGTCTTATATCTGAAAGCAATATTCTTTAATATTGGTGGAGTTTTACCTGACTTCCATTGTGAGTCCTTATATCAAATAGAAATCATTATGTTTATATCATCACATAAATATAGTGGGTAGTCTTATATCTCAAAACAAGTATTCTCTTCTATATTCCATTGTGAGTCCTTCTATCAAATAGAAATCATTATCTGTATATCACATAAATATAGTGGGTAGTCTTAAATCTCAAAACAAGTATTCTCTAATATTATCAAAAATATGCTCTCATAATGTTTTATAACACCTAAAAGCCCTGCGTTTACCTTAAGCAACATTAAGCCTTCATCAACTAGATGGTTAAATTAAGTTAATTGGGATGATTCTCGTTTTAGTAAATTGATATTGTTTGAGGTGTTTTACCTGACTTCCATTGTGAGTCCTTATATAAAATAAAAATCATTATGTTTATATCGTTACATTTATATAGTGGATAGTCTTATATCTCAAAACAAGTATTCTCTAATATTATCAGGAATATGCTCTCATAATTTTTTATAGCACCTAAAAGCCCTAACTTAGCTTAAAACCACATTAAGCATTCATCAATTAGTTGGTTAAATTAAGTTAATTGGGATGATTTTCGTTTTAGTAAATTGATGTTGTTTGAGGTGTTTTACCCGACTTCCATTGACTCTGTAGGTGTCTAAAGCGGCTTATCGCGCCTATAGAAAGTCAAACAGAAACGACAGAGTAAATTACTTCAAATTAAATTGTAAAAATTTGTAATTACCAGGGCTCAGTTGAAAGGCCCATTAAAAAAAAAGATTTGCACCAAGTCAAGCACAAAGTAAATTGCTAAATGTTAATTGCACATTTTCACTGAATTCATATTTTGTGTGGGAAAATTCCATCTAGTAAAGGAGTAAACAAAGCTAAAGGTTAATAAAAAAAGCATTTAACAAATTGATGCTATTATATAGGCCTAATTTATCGGACTCAGTGACGCGCACCATTATTTTTGTAAACATATGTCACATTCGCAATTTGATAATAATACCTATAGTCTATAGTTAAATAAATGATTGCAATTATGCAGATAACAAATCTATATAGCTTATAAATAATTATCATAAATAATCAATTGCAATATAACACGATAATGTTAGAAATCAGGTATTAATAAGAGTGCTATTGTTACGCTTTCTATAATCGATCTGTTCGATATGTAAGACTTTAAGAGCCTCTCAATCAAACAGAAACCAGACAGAGCTAATGCTATTTTTAAACCTTTCCCCTTTTGTGTACTTGGTGAATTGGCACAATTCCTTTTAGAATGTTATTTATGGCTGCTAAATAATATACATATGTGGTGCATATGTGTTAGATAGTAAATGTTTAATATGCCCGCTAATTGATGGTAAAAGTTCTGGGCTAAACTGGAGCCGCAGCCAGTTACAGGCGGCCAATGCCCGAAATGAACTGAATATATTGGCTAAATAAAGAGGGGTGGGATTAAGGGGATATATGATGGCTTGTAAAAGGTAATATAAACTCGATGCACTCTTGCAAAGTGGATGCATCATCAGCAAACAATGATTTATTAAAGAGAATTTGCAAACATTCTCTGTGGATAGTTTACCAAAAACTTATTAGAGGACATATGGAGACTATTATATTATAGGCTAAACAAATAATACATATGAATTGTATAACAAATTCCAATAAAACTATATATTTAAAACTTTTCCTCTTGTTCATCCTCCTTTAGAAATGGTATGTCTTCAAGAATGTCAGTGAGCTTTTCATCCTGGTGCCGGCGCTTTTGGGTCTGAAGGGTAATCTGGACATGTGTCTGGCCTCGCGGCTCTCCACGCAAGTGAACCTGGGCAACATGACCAGTCGGCAGGGCGTGATACGGATGATAGTGGGTAATATAGCGCTGGTGCAGGTCCAGGCGACAGTGGCCTCCTTCCTGGTGGCCATGTTTGCGGTGAGCGTTGGTGCGGCGATGACCGGGGAGTTCTACTTCGAGAACATGATGCTGCTGACTGCTTCGGCCATGTTTACGGCCACCTCGTCGTGCTTTGTGCTGGGTAGGATTTGCCCTGCTATTCCCAAACTGTACACCCCACTAACGGCTGGCTTTTTCAGATTTTGTCTTGGTGGCTGTCATCCTGTTTTCGCAGAAGTATCGCCTCAATCCGGATAACCTAGCCACGCCCTTAGCTGCCTCCATTGGTGATGTGGTGTCCATCAGTTTGCTCTCCTTTATTGCCTCGCTGCTGTACGATCATATCAGTAAGTTTCATATTTTTATATAAATATATATTTAACATATGAATAATCATTCTTGTCTTTCCGCGCAGAAACGCACCTGTGGATCACTTTCATCGTAATCACCTGCTACCTGGTGCTCTTGCCCATGTGGGTGATGATCGTGCTGAGGAACGAGTACACGCGACCGGTGCTGAAGAGCGGATGGGTGCCCGTCCTCTCAGCCCTCTGCATAAGTGGGTACGTACTGCGCACCCCGCAAGCTATTCAATCAGATTGAATGATGGACCCTCGAGTGCACAAAAAATTGGGAGCATGATAAGCAGAAAAACGACAAGTTGCCCGCTATATTTAGATATATCAGCCCGTTAAATTTAGTGCCAAATCACGTCCAGGCGTTTGTGATCTGATCTGAACGCTATTTATATAAATCTAAGGGAACAAGTAGCCAAGACCCGAGACCATGGGAATCGTTCGCATGGACGGATGTCCCTGACTCGGGTTTGGCGAGATGTCAAGCGCGTTTATAATTAGAATCAGCAGTAGGATTTGAATTCCCGGGCGTAATTATTCGGCATGACTAGAGAATTTGCGGCAATAGAACTTCATAAGACAAACACACTTCACATTTGGAGTCAAATGAGTTATCTACAGGGTGTTTGAGTGCATATTTTTTAAATCTAAGCCAGATTTGCCTGTCAATCGAATTAACGAACTTTCCGTCATCTCATTGCAGTCTGGGTGGCCTTGTGTTGGACGCCGCCGTCGAGGTGTTTAATGGGTTCGTTGTGTTTCAGCCGATCATCAACGGAATCGGCGGCAACCTGGTATCGGTGCAGGCCAGCAAGATATCCACAATGCTGCACCAAAGCTCAATTATCGGGATTATACCACCGCACACGCAGATCTTCGAGTGGCCCTGGCGGGCGCTCTTCAAAGGAGGTAATTCTCAGACAGATGTGTTAAATTAACCTGGTATTAATTTGTAAATTTCTTCGGTAAACAGTTCCCTATGCGAAGACAGCAAGGATACTTATCGCCATGTCGATCCCCGGCAATGTCCTGTTTATCTTTGCTGCTGACTATATAAACTATAGCACCTCGACGGTCACCTGGGTGTTTGTGCTATCCTATCTGACCGCCAGTTTAGTGCAGGTGAGTTGCCATTTAAATATGGGTTAACCTTATTAAACAGCTGAGAATTGGTGCTCAAGTATTGCCTAAAAATAAATGTATACAAAAAATTATAGTGAAAACTAGCAATACAAAATTACGTTTATTTTAAATGACATGTTAAAGTAATATCAATTATAAAATCTTTTAAAAACTAGGAGATCTTCTATATCCGAATACAAACTATATTAAACATATTGTGTAATTAAAATTATTACCCAAAACACAATTACTAATGTGTTGCGATCGTTTCAGGTGATGCTGCTGCTGTATATTGCCCACATTATTGTGCACGCGATGTGGAAATGGAAGATCGATCCGGATAACTCGGCCATACCCTACCTGACGGCCCTGGGCGATCTGCTGGGCAGCAGTCTGCTGGCGGTGGCGTGGCTCTTCACCATGTCGGTGGGCATGCAATACGGATCCGGGATGCAGACACTCAACGCACCGAACTAGACTAGCAAACGAAATAGGAATACGGAATAACGTAGAACGATAAACAAGGCAGCCACACACCACACAATATAAAGAACTGTTATGTACCTAAATCAAATATATAGAAAACATAGAAATTGTACGAATAGACCCAGCCCCAGCCCCCCAAAAAAACCTCCCAACACCAAATGGAAACGGAAACGGAAACCAATATAAAACGAACTAACTTCTAATGATGCATGAATGTCGAATGTTCGAGGCGGGAGATATTAAGAGAGATGATATCATTTTACACTGTGTCCTTCTTCACATGGCTTTTGCTTGTGTTCCTTTTGCTCTACCGAGAAATTATGTGCGATTATGGTATATATACAGGCTATATATAGGCATATGTAGATTTGCAGGTCTGCCGCGTCATATTTTTTAAGGCTTTTAGGACAATATTATACACATTTAAAGAAATATATACATTGTATAGGGAGAAACAGAAGACGATGAATAACTGAAAGAACATTTACACAACGCAAATTATTTCCTCCCACTTCGGTTCTTAATTCTTTCACTCTGGTTTACCTAAAGCAGCCAAATAATAATTGCAAAACATAGTCGTAAATAGAACATACTTAAATTCTTAATTTACAATTATCAACCAATTATGTAGTATTAGCGCAGATTTGATTTTTGCAAGTCTCGCTTTCGATTTTGTGTTTTTTTTTTAAATATTACTTTTCTCATTGTCCCTTTTCAATTTTCCCGCAGCCCCGAGCGATGAAAAAGAAAAGCAATAACGTGCGGATAACGATATTTATTATTGCAAATTAGTTAGGACGATGGGAAGTGTATGCAGGAGTTTATAAGTTCTGCAACAAAAAGTGAACAGGGAATAAAACGATGAGAATGAGAGACGTTCTGAAAGGAAATGTGATCGATATTTAGTTATAACAATAATAATAATTATAAATTAATTGAAAAAGTAAGAGAAAAGGCATCAATATTGTGTAATACTTGAAACAATAATACCAATTAAATAAATATGTTGGAATAAACGAAAGCAAACAAAAGCGTTCATAATGATAATTGTTTTTATTACATGAAAAATAATGGGCAAAAGCGAAATTGTGTATTTGTTTGCTAAAGCCCCTTTAACTGTTGACGGAAATATTAAGAAATATTAACTAAAATCGGAATCCAATTTTTTCGCCCTAAAAATTCAGCTTTTAAGCTGCTACAAAAAAAATAAACGTCAGAAATGGCATACCTCATTAAGCTCCTTGCTTTTTTCCAATCCATTGGCACTCAAACCTGGAAATTTTGAATTTTTCACATTTCTTCTTTCACTTCCTTAAAGTGACAGGGATCGATAGCATTTGTAGCAAACTGCACAGAACAGTCGGTCTTTTAGCTGTACGCCTTGATTTGGCTGAACTACTGAAAATCCACTAAAAAATTATTATTTTTTACCAAAATCTGAATCACAAAAAAAAACGTTGTAACCCCTTATAAAAAATGCGAAAATGGGTCAAAAAATTAAAGTTCCTTAAATTGATGGGGATCAATAGCATTTGTACCGAACTGCTCAGAACAGTCGGTCTTTTTGCTGTACGCCTTGATTTGGCTAAACAACGACTGAAAAACCGCTACAAAATGAGTATTTTTGACCAAAATCTGAATCACAAAAATAAAAAATGAGAAAATGGGTCAAAAAATAAATGTCCCTCAAAGTGACAGGGATCGATAGCATTTGTAGCAAGCTGCTCAGAACAGTCGGTATTTTAGCTGTACGCCTTGGTTTGGCTAAACTACGGCTGAAAAACCACTAAAAAGTGAGTATTTTTGACCAAAATCTGAACCACAAAAATAACCCTCATAAAAAATGAGAAAATGGGTCAAAAAATAAATGTTCCTTACAGTGACAGGGATCGATAACATTTGTAATTGTAAAACTGGAAAGAAAAATCGTATTTTTGACTTAAATCTGAATCCCATTTTATGGCGGTAAAAAGTCGGTTATTTGGAGGAATGCCATTCATCGATTTTATTTTCGGCAAAACTAAATTTTATGTTTTATTCTTCTTCGGTTTTGGTTTGCTTAGGCCGATCAGCTGTTTCTGCAACAGCGGTTTTCTATTTGAACAGTGTGAACGCTCCGCAGCAGACGATAGAGGACAAACCATCGACTTATCGATAACTACTGCAATCAACGCCGTTTTGAAGTGAACGACGCGGGTTTAATATTCAATTTTTAATTTAATTTACGGGGATTCTTATTTATTTGTCCAGGATGTCGCATCTAATGCCACGGCGAACCAGCGAGTTCCGAGGTGATGTGCTGGAAGAGCGATGCACCGCCGAAAAGCGGCAGACCAGGTGAGTTGTCCAGAGTTCCAGGAAATAAGTTGGAGTAAGATCACGATTATCCTTTATCTAGGCCGGGTAAGCGCAGCACAGCCATGCATACTCCGTTGTCCACGCAGGCGATCTCCAGAAGGTGGGCATGCCAGTTAAATATTCCCACATACACCCAATAATAATCCTTTCCAGAACCTCCGCGACGCGACTGTTGCAGCCGCTGAACTTGGAGCGGGATCGGGCGGGTCAAATGGGTGTGACGCCCAAGCGAGGTCACCGACTCGTGCCCTCCACCGCGGAACGCGCTGTTCCCCTGCACACCGATAAGAAGTGGGTGGCGGAGCGGTCGCATCAGATACTGGAGTACCTACATGCCGTTCAGGACAGCGAGGCGCCCACAGGATTCATCTCGGATCTCGTTAGTCGGCCTGGCGGACTGCGGCACATGACCATAAAGCAGTTCGTGGCCATCCTCAACTATCTGTTTCAACACATCTGGCGGAATCGCTTGACAGTGGGCCAGAATTACGTCGAGGACATCACTAGCTCCATGCAGAAGCTTCAATATCCTTATCAGGTGAAGAAAGACTAGAGTTAATATCTTCTTCTAAAATTCTGAACCTTGAAATGATCCTAAACTGGCAAATTTCCGTCTATAACCAATATGTAACTGGCAGGTTAACAAATCTTGGCTTGTGTCGCCGACCACGCAGCACTCTTTTGGCCACGTGATCGTCCTGCTGGACTTTCTCATGGACTTTGCGCCGCCATTGAATTCCACTGATGAGCCGGAAGAAGAGTTTTCGTTCATGGAGACAACGGAGCAGCCTAGCTCGTATCTGAACAGCATGCATTGCGAATCAACGGCCGGTATCTCCATCACCCAGGTGCAGGCCGTCCAGCTGGATGAGGAGATTAACGCTCTGCTTTTTGCCGAGGCCAGCAACTGCATTGTCCTGTGGGATCAGGAGCTCACCGATGAGGAAGCCAAATTGCAAGCGGAAACCAGAGATCAGTTGATAAGTAAGAAGTGCGATTTGCCGGACCGCCAAGCGCTGGACCAAGTGATCGAGGATCTAAGGGCGAAACTGCATGAACTTAACGATAAGCTGCAGCAACCTACCGACGATAATAAGCTGGATAAATTAGAGCATCTTATCAAGGAGCAGGAACAGCTCGCACAACAGCTGGCTGACAGTCAGGAGGAGCTGAACCAGCAGCTGAACCTCTTCGACAAGCTGTCCGCTCAGGCCGATGAAAAGCAGGCTAATCTCCGCCAGCAAATTAAGTACGAGCAGCGCCTGGAGCAGGCGGTTAACAACCAGAAGTACTCTGCTCAGCAACTGAATGCCCTGCAAATGGAGAGCAACGATATCGAAAACTACTCCAAAGCCTATGAGCGCCAGGTGAAGGAGATGTCCGACCTGGAGCTCCACCAACAAGTCATGCTGTCGCGGGCTAAGCAAAAGCAGTTGGATTGCGTTGAGGCCTTTAACACGCATGCCCGCTACCTTAGCTTGGACTCGGTAATATGCTGCCTAATCAGGGGCGGCGGTGATCAGCAGTTTGACCTAACGCTGCCGCTAAGTCCCAAGCAGGAGGACATCTCCAAACGGGTTCAGCGCCTGGAGGAGCTGGGCAATCTTCTCCAGCAGCAGCGTCAACAGAATTTCGAGCGCCGTCAGATGCTGGATCAGCAGGCGGAGAAGTTAAAGTGCGATTCCATTGAGTTGGAAGCGAAGGTTACCACCTTGGAGTCTGACTTACAAGCACAAAATCATCGCCTGACCAAAATGGAGGCGGGCTATCGCAACAAGCGCGATACAATGTTGCAGTGCCGTCAGCAGCTGATAGAGGATCAGTGTGATCAGATCACCCGTCTAGAGGAACTGGAGAAGCAGCAGCACGAGGCCCAGGAGAGGCTTCAGGCCATCGATCAGAAAAACGAAGACTTACTTGCCGGCGCCGAGTTGTATCAGGAGGAAGATCACAAAGCCCGCAACGCCCACCTTGACAAATGCGAGCTGAAGCTAGCCGAAGCGGAGAAAGAGCTGCAAGCTCTGAACTCAAAGATCACCGTGAGCCAGGCCAAACTGGAAGAGGCCGAGCAGATGGTACATTCCATCCAGCTGCCCTCATTTGAGCCAGTGCTTCACGCCATTAAAAGGCGCTGATCTATTTGTTTTAATATTTTCTATTCATTAATACGTTGGAATAGATTTATATTTTTTTTAAACGATGTGTACTTTACGAAACAAAAGTATCTTCTTCAGATGTGGCTGTTCTGCATCGAATTTTTAAAAGTGAATCAAGTATGTAGCTAAATTATGATAGTATTTATAAAACATCGGCGCTAATAAATAAAATATTTAATCAAACTAAAGTACACACAATCCGTGAATGTTTTATGAAATGTATTTATTTTGGATTACATTTGGATTAGGTAAATATAATCGGACGCAGCGGTCCCTGGACAATGAGGGGATTCTCGCCTCGATTACCATAATATCAGAATTCCTTAAGTTTTTTATTGCCACGCGAATTATGCTCTCGATACGGATCTCTGCTTCTTTTTTGGATTACAAATTGCACTTGGAACGGTTTAGCTTTACATGGTTATACATATACACTGAGTGGTGGGTGAAGACGGCAAGGACAACTTAAACGTAAGCGTACATATATAAATATTAAATAAGATTATCTTTTGGCCAATTTTGTTTAGATTAGGGCGGGATCGACTTGTGTCCTCAAAAATTGCAGGGTAACGGAATAGAAGGACAATTAATAGCCATATTCAGTGTGGTCTTAAATTCAGCTTGAAATTTAACTAACAACAAAACTATCCATTATTTGATTGGTAGTTTTAAAGTCTGAATTTCTTAGCGATTTTTCACAATTTGTTTTTGAATTTTTAATCCTATACAATAAATATATACTTTCAATTATTGGATTTCAATATTTTTCAAAATAAATCAGTTTGTGATTATAAATGGTCCTTGAGGAATATGGGGCTAAATTGTCCAAGGATTATAGTCCCTACATCTTTTTGTACCACAAGTCAACCTACTCTAGAATGTAGGTACACAAAAAGGAGAATACAAGAAGATGTAAATTCAACGTTGAGACTGAGACAAATGTGTTGCGTAATAAATAATTATCATTTAGCTTAGTTCGATTTTATACAATGCTTGATAGTGCCGACGTTTCAGACGATGAAGACATCACCACTGCTACGCTCCACGGCGGAGGTAGCCACATCGCCGCCACATCCGGGCCGACCAGCTTGCGTTGCGGCCGAGATCATGGGTTCCTCCGGCTGAACGGTTTTGTCCAACAGTTCCGCCTCGCGTCCGATCTCAACAATGCCCTGCGGTTGCTCGCAGCTCGCGTTGTGTGACTCGTGCGACTCGTGTGCCTCTTCCTGTCCAGCCAGGTGGATGCTGACCCCCGCCATGTCAAGGTCCTCGACGTCCTTGTGGTTCTGGAATGTAACTGAGATCTCTTGGGCTGCAGCACCTTCGCTTGCTTCCTGTCCCTCCTGGCCGTTGCCGCTGGTCGTGGGCGTAGCATTTGCATTTGGTGGTGCCGTCGTAATGGACGACCACCAGCTGGAGAATGCGCCCTTAGCCTGGGAGATGGCACCACCCACCGCCCGACTCGTCGTGTTCACCGCTTGGTTGATCTTGCG